GAGCTCAAGCAATCCACCCTCACTGGCCTCCCAGAGTGCTAGGATTACCAGCACACACACCCAGCCTTCCTTAACTTTCTAAAGCTGAAGTCACATGAACTACATAAAGTCTCTGGTTAAACACTTGAATGCTAGTCTATGCACACCAAGCCACATCAAGTCAGCCAAATGGCTTAGTAAAATCAGGAGTAAAAAAGAAACAAAGCACCTGCTCTTGTTGCAGCCTAAGAAGGTGCTAGAGGTAGACCCCAACAAGGGAGTGTTTAAAAACAAAAAACCATAACCTTAAGCAGTGGCTCATGCCTGTCATAACACTTTTGGAGGCCAGGGCAAAAGGATCACTTCAGGCCAGGTGTTCAGCCTGGGCGACACAGCAAGACCCTGTTCCTATAAAAATTTTTTTAAATTAGCCACTGTGATGACACATGCCGGTATTCCTTACTCTAGAGACTGAGGTAGAATCACTTGGGCCCAAGAGTTCAAGGTCACAGTTAACTATGATTGGTTCACTGCACTTGGGCCTAGGCCAGAAAGAGCCATACCCTCTTTTACCAATACCCCAAATGCATATGTTAAAACCTACTTCCCAAGGTGACTGTTTTAGGAAGTAGGGCCTTTCAGACTTAATGTGTAGGAGTATCAACTGGAATGAGTTCTGACATGCCAAGCTGGGTCCAGTAAGTAGCTCAGACCAGTAATCCCATCACTCTACAAGGCCTAGGATCACTTGAGCTCAGGAATTCAAGATCAGCCTAAGCAAGAATGAGGCCCCATCTTTACTAAAAATAGAAAAATGAGCCAGGTGTCATGGCTGGCACCTATAGTCTCAGCTGCTTGGGAAGCTGAGGCAGAATCATGGCTCGAGCCCAAGAGTTTTAGGTTACAGTGAGCTATGATGATCCTACTGCACTCTACTAAGGACAAAAGAGTAAGAATCTATCTCAAGAAAAAATAAAAAAGCAAAATGCCATTCCATGTCTAGGAATGTACCCTACTGAAATACCTGCATTTCATGCTAAATCACTATTTTTATCTAATCCAAATTTGTATGTTGAAATCAAGTACCTAATACCTGCAGTATAAGAATTAAGTGGGCCTTTGGAAAGTGACTGAGTCATGAGAACTGAGCCCTCACAAATGGTATCAGTGCCCTTATAAATGGGAAACCCTGGTAAGATCCTTTACCCCTTCTGCCATGTGAACATAAGACAGAATCCAGACACCAAATCTGCAGTTGCCTTGACCTCGGCCTTCCCAGCTTCCAGAACTGGGAGAAATAAAATTCTGTTGAAATTCGGTTTGTGGCATTTTGATATCACAATTCAAACAGATTAAAACAAGCCCAATATTACATGGTTTTGTTTGTTCAACATTTATACCTTAATTTTTTCATTTATTTTCTCTGTACTTGATGAATAATTCAGCTGTGAACTCTAAATGATCAAAATTTTTCCTCAATATGTTCAAATATTGGTAAGTTTTTTGTTTTGGAGTCATCACTGCCTGAACAGTACTTTCTTCTGCTTCTACCGAGACTGTTCTCCAAGCCCATTGCAGAAAAGTAGTCCTGGGAATTCCTGTTGCCACAGCATAAGATCACGTGTAGAACTCAAGAGTATTGAGCAAATGGACTCCAGTCATTTTAAACAGCACTTACTACCATAGCGCAAATGATCTCATTCTCCTTACTTCATTCGCCTACAGTCTGGCTTAATTTAGCATTCTATAAATTAACCCCAATTTCAGGGATGCCTGGAAAACTTTTATGGCAAGCAAAGTTAAGAGATCTAACATCAAACACAACTCCCACGTCACCCTTAACTCTGCTGTCAGAGGGTCGCTGACCCACCCAGAACCAGATCGGAATACGTTATCACTACAAAATAGTCTGTTTCCACTCCCATCTGCTTTCCAAGGCTACATCAATTACTGGCACCAAAGCCTCAAACTGGAACCAGCTTTGTGGAGGCAAAGTGAGGACAGGCACCATGCCCCGCTCAACTTTGTGGTCTCTTACGTGCTAACTCCCACACTTGTAATCAGGCGGTTTTAAGTACCCAGTGAAGTACAAAGACAGCTCTCAGGTTTACTAAACACATTTAACAAAATCAATGGTGGAATGCTACAGAAAATCAGTGTATTAAAAGCATTATTCTGAAAAACTACTTTCACGACCCGTAAGTGACAGTAGTATAACCTTGTCAATTACATAGACTACAAAACCTCAACTCAGAGGTATGCCATTTTGTCATTTTTTCCAACATGTAATGGCTTTCATGGATGGATCAGAAGTTTAAAGAAAAATAATTTCCAAACACTTTAACGTTGAAAATCAGTGAGTTACTCAATCTTTTCAAATTACATATTAAACATTTTAGAATTCACTAGTTCCCCTTTGTTCTTAATAAAGTGTTTTTCCCTTCTACAAGTTGGTAAGTAGTTTTTAAATTTTTTTTTTGAGAGCGAGCCTCAAGCTCCTTGGGTAAAGTGCCCTAGCCATCACAGTTTATAGCAACCTCCAACTCCTGGGCTCAAGTGAGTCTCCTGTCTTGGCCTCCAAGTAGCTGGGATCACAGATGCCCTCCACAAGGCCCAGCTATTTTTTGATTGCAGCCATCTTTGTTGTTTGTCGGGCCCAGGCTGGGTTTGAACCTGCCAGCGCAGGTGTATGTGGCTGGCACCTTAGCCACTTGAGCCACAGGCAGCAAGCCGGTAAGTAGTTTTTAAAATAAAAGAAAGGTCTAGCATGAATGTAGCATTCAGTTAAGCTCAGATTCTGAGTCATGAAAAAAACTATTCTTAGGTTGTTACAGGGAGATTACATCAAACGAGAAAGCAAAAATGACTTCCTTTAATGGAATCAAGAAGTTTTAATAATTAAGAAACATTTTTGACATACAATCTCTGTTGCCTGGGCTTGACTGCAGTGGGGGTCATAGCTCATTGCAACCTCAAACTCCTGAGCTTAAACAATCCTCCTGCCCCAGAATCCCAACTAGCTTGGGAGATTTTTTTTTTTTTTTTTTGGTAAAAATTAGGTCTTAACTATGTTGCTCAGGCTAGTCTCAATCTCAAAGCCTCCAGTGATCCTCCTACCTAGGCCTCCCAAAGTGTTGAGATTACAGGTGTGAGCCAGCACTCCTGGCTTTTAGAGCTTTATTTATGATGCCAACATCTATTATGTGCATGTTTAATTCACATAACTTCAGAAAATCCTTCACTGATGATCCCTATCTAAGCAAAATTCTCTACTTGACCAATGGCCCCACCCCCAGCACACAGACTAGCACCTTGCTGAATATCACTCAAAATATTTGTTCAATGACTATTGTTAGTTTCCAGCTTTTGAAACTTGTCAACCCACTCATGAAAGGAAGAGGTACACTAGTGAAAGTGAGGATATGTTACGTGTCTGTTTATCCTTTAGGGAAAAAAGGACCAGAGCAGGTATGACCTTCCAAGAGAAGTGGCAGTGGCAGAGAACCAACACAGTCAGGGAAGGAAAAAAATTAACAGAAAAATGTCTGCTCGAAGAATTCAAAGAACACATAGAACACTCACTCAGCATGGGGCCTCAAATACAAAAAAGCATTTGATAAATTACATTTTGTGTCTATACAGAACTCTTGTCAAATATACCCATCGGTAGAAATAGCTGAGAAATCACCCCAAACCGGTTTATCTCTCATCACAACATACCTTCCCTCACAGCAAAATGCCTATCATACAGAACATGCTCAGTATTTGCTGAATGAGATTCTGAAAAATACACCCAAACTAGACATAGTCCCATATATGTTAAAACTAGAGCAAGGTACAAACATATGAAAAGTGACAACATTAGAAACATGGAACAATCAGCCCCATCCTGACTGTTCAATAAAACTAATCTTAAGGCTCACTGCCAGGTCTTTTCTAATGCCCATGAAATTTTACCCATGTGCCACAGCACACTGGTGCTCCACGAAAATTTTTGAAGACTGTGAACATTATTTTCAAAAGAAGTTCAAAGCACAGTATTTTTTTCATCAACATAATCTAAATGTGCCATGGAACAAGTTCAAGTGTGCAATTGAAAGAAAAAAGATTTAAAAACACTGCTGGGTGGCACCTGTGGCTCAGTGAGTAGGGCTCCGGGGCCCCATATACCAAGGGTGGCAGGTTCAAACTCGGCCCTGGCCAAACTGCAACAAAAAATAGCCAGGCATGGTGGCAGGCACCTGTAGTCCCAGCTACTCGGGAGGCTGAGGCAAGAGAATCACCTAAGCCCAAGAGCTGGAGGTTGCTGTGAGTAGTGACACCATAGCACTCTACCCAGGGCGACAAAGTTAGACTCTGTCTCAAAAAAGAAAAAAAGGAAAGAAAGAAAGAAAAGAAAAAGAAAAAGAAAAACACTGCTCTATGCTTATCATCCAAGGCAGTAAGTACAAGTAATGTGGTGCTAATGACACCATTCTGGTATTTTCTTTGGATTCTGGCAGAGCTATACAAATAAGATGGTGAAAGGCACTGTACCATGTTATTAGCCTATAGTTAGCAAAATACTCTGTTGGAGTTACGCCTCATTTTTCCAGGTGCTATGGAGAATGGAAACTGACCTCTTCTTCCCCTAACCCCCTCCTTTACCCTAGACTTCCTCTTTAGAAGTAACTCAGGTATGTTGACTGGGTGGTTAGAATGATAGTCATAGATGTAGATTGATTGTTTCTCTAGCAGGGAAAACCTACATCTATCTCTAAACTACTTGTGTATTTGGTTTCATAACAAAGGCAGACCAGTGGGAGAAGTCTTCACTGGACTAAGGCTGCCAGCCTGGTTTTTTCCAAATAACCTGTTTCCTTTGGCATCTATAAATAAGTCCTATCTACAACAAATACAATAACTGCAATGATCTTCACCCAAAGCTGAGTACCTTAAACTTCACACCCTCCCCTTCTCTTCAAGGTACAAATAAAGAACCCAGAAAAAAGCCCAAGCAAGAACTCTCTCAAAGCACACATACCCTAAGTTGAAAAACCATTTATTTCACCGGAAAGAAAAAAGTGATCCAACTCTATAGGTCTAGCTTTTGGGCCAAAAAAAGACCCAGAAGCAGTGAGACTCTCACCAAGGTCATCCCCCAATCCAACACCCACTGGAGGCACAAAGTAGGGAGGAAGCACAGCCCCCACCACAGTCTCTGCACACAATGAGGCCTGCTGGGAGAACAGAACACGAATGGGAGGCTACAGAGGTATCGAAGGACAGGAAGAACAGGAAAATGGGCAGGAGGACAGGAAAGGAAGAGAAGGTCTGAACTCAGCAAGGTAAATTAAGGTCCATGGTTCCTGAGGGACTGAACGCACAGAGCCGAGAACGTCCCGGAGATGGGGTACCACGAAGGGTGTATTCTCATGCACAACCGCAGCTCGGAATTTCAGCCCACACACATCCCACCTGAAAGAGAGCACAACACAGGGGCTTTATAGCAAAGCTCAAAAGGGCTTCTTTCCCACTTCAAACTTCAAAGAACATCTTTACAGTTTGATAACTTGACATTCCTTTTCAGTTTACTTGTACTTTTCCCCAGCAATAATCTCTAGAAGTGAGAAGAGCTTTAAGGCCAGAGACTAACTGGGGAAGCTAAGCAATCCCAGACTAAGGCCTTTCTCTAAATTAACAGCAAATTTTGTGTTATGAGAGTAGCCAAAGACATTCTATTGTTTTGGGGTGGGTTTTTTTTGGTTGTTTTTTTTTTTTTTTTTTTTTAAGACGGAGTCTCACTTCAAGAGAAGAGCTTCAAGGCCAGAGACTAACTGGGAAAGCTAACCAATCCCAGACCATGGCCTTTCTCTAAATTAACAGCATATCTTGTGTCATGAGAGTAGGCAAAGACACTCTATTGTTTGGGGGTTTTTTTTGGGGGGGGGGTGGGACGGAGTCACTTGCTGCTCTTAGTAGAGTGCCGTAGCATTACCACTCACAGCAACCTCAAACTCTTGAACTCAAGCAATTCTCTTCCCTCAGCCTCCCAAGTAGCTGGGACTACAGGCACCCACCACAACGCCAGCCCACTTTTAGAGACGGGGTCTCACTCTTGCTCAGGCTGGCCTCAAACCAGTGAGCTCAGGCAATCCACCCGCCTCAGCCTCCCAGAGTGCTAGGATTACAGGTGTGAGCCACCACACCTGGCCCTCATTCTATTGTTTTTGATGTTAGTATTAGCATTCCTCACAGAAGGTCACATGTCACAAACTGTCATCAGAAGACAGGAAAAAAGGAAAGGTTCCCATTAGCTCTCTGAGTAAAAAGTCAACAGTATGTTTCAATCTGGGAGTTACTGCCAAGGTTCAAGTTAAAAATCATTCAAAGGCTAGGACAACAGTAGTATCAACTGAACAAGTTCTAAGACCCAAGGACAGCCAATTGTCTAGGGAAGATGCTAACTTTTGAAAGATGGTGCTGGAGGGCACGTGTAAGCTACACATCAAGTCACCGATGTTTCTTTTCTAGCTCGATCAGTGAAATTTCCTATCCAATGACTCTGGGCAAGTCACATAACCTTCTACTCTAACTTAAAAGATGACATTATCACTTACACTGTTGCTATAATTAAGGATCAATGGCAACGTCTAAGACTCACTGGGGCTACTCAGAACTAAAGGCGTTGAGAATTACCCATAAGTACAACAATAATCTCAAACACCTAGAGCCCAAAGCTGGCAGTATCAGAAGAGAATATATTCAAGTAGAGCCAAAAGGATGGTGAGACTCAAAATGTACGAGAGGGAAAAGCCAGAGGACTCAAGGTAGAGCTGGTGGCTCAAGAGTATCAAATGCCCATAGTAGCTGTGAGAAGATGAAGGGAGTCATCAGCTTATGGCAAAGCTCCCAACTCTGGATTTCAGTATTACCAAAAGAGTAAAGTTAACAGATGTGCATGAGTCCTTTACATTACCATATACCTTAAAGAAGGTATATGCACTATGGAAACAGTTATTTAAAAAAAAAGACAAACAAACACGAACAAAGTTAACAGGCTGCTATAGGACAGATTCAAAGACATAGCAGTTAAGACTGGGGACTATATACTTAGGAAACGAATCTGAGCTGGGCAGAAAAGCTGGATGTCAGAGTCTACGCCCAGACTTCCACGTCGAACTTTATAAATGATACGCTTTGTACTTCTTTTCCCAACTTACCACCAAATAAGTTCTACAAAACTCAAAGGGGCTGAACTGCTCAGTAGTGTCAGAAATATGCTTCAAGATTAAGAGTATGCCATTTTGGTAGTCTTAGTAACTGGGACCTGAGCAGTGATAACCAGTTAACTACAAATGTGGACTTTATCAATCATTAGAGGTCATATCAGACCTTTCACGTAACACGAAGCAGAACATGAAGACCTTAGTAGTGTCACACACCTAGGAAACTCAACAAAAGCTCTAAAAAACAGCACACCTGCATCTCAATGTCTGGGTGCCAGGTAAAGTTCAATTATAGCACATAGGTGTGACCCAAGATCCACCAGCACACCATTCTTTGTTTTTTTCTAGGCACAGAGAATCAGACTGACTCCCACTACCAGGGGCTCTGAAAAATAGCCACGAGGGCCAAGGACATGTACATATTTCGAAGTGAAGCAGTAGGGACCTCTCCCTAAGCCTGAACGATGCTAGTAAACTCATCCTAACCTTACAAAAGCAAGCAAGCAGGGCAGCCTAATTGGAGCCCTTTAGGCTGCAGGAGGGATGACAAAACTAAAACAGGGGACACCCCACCCCTCTCACCTCAAGCTTTAAAAGGCTGAGTACCGCGCCCGATCTGCATACTGCTCCCGCTCATACCGGGCCATGTCGTACAGGGAATTCCGCGCGGCTGCAGAAGCTTGGGACAACTCACTCTCATGCCCGTAACCGTAGCCCTCTCCAACAGTGGGGACTGGGGCTGTAGCACGACGCAGGGGGCTCCGATCCCGCCCGTAATATGAAGTGGACGCTGCAGTAACTGCAGCAGCAGCTGCTGCAGCAGCGGCAGCTGTGGCAGCAGCAGCTCCTGAGGTCGGCAACAGGTGTCTATCGTAGGGATCGAGAGAGGTGGAGGTGAGGTGACTGGCCATGGCTGTGTTCTGAACTTGTGGCAGCTGGGACAGGGTCTGCTCTGTGTAATTATACACAGAGGCAGCTGCAGCTGCCACTGCCTCATAGGACCGGGCAGCACGGCAGCGCTTGTAGTAGGCATCGAGCGCTCCGTACGCGTTGTTGTAATACAACGAATCCCCATAGCTCATGGTGTAAGGCGTACGCACTGCTCCATATTGCTCATTATATTGCTCGGTCAAGTCTGCCACGCGGCCTGAACGATCTATCGGACACTCTTTGGACCAGTGCCCCTCTTTCCCGCACCGATAGCAGCCGCTCTGGTCTCCCATCCCGGGCGCAGTCCTAAGCCGGCTGGTGGACAACTGCACGTGCATTCGTTTGCCTTGAAGAAACAGACGCAAGAAGGGTTGCTATCACTCTTAGTCATAGCCCCAGCCCCTACCCCAGACACTGGTCATAGCAAAGGCTTTATCTAGACAATTCCAATCCAGGACTCATCTTTGTGAAAAAGAATTTTTTAAAAATGGACCCAACATTCAGTATAATGACCTGGTTTGGGGCAAAGATCAATTAGATGAAGAAATGTATCAGTTATAACACTAGTTTAATGCTTAAGAACCAGTTTTGCTCAAAAAAAAGCATCTTATCCTTGCCAAGTAACCACAGTTTTATAAAAGTCTGCTCCAGTGGCCCAAGGTCAAAAGAAACCAAAGAAAGAGTGTTCCACAAGCTTCTATCATCTCCAACTTTCACTATCAAGGCTGATTCCATTAAGCAGGAGAATGTAAAGGAATGTTTCTACCACCACCCTTCAAAACCCCCAAAGAGAATGGAATAAAACATCCTGAAGTTAGTTACCATCACTAAACAGTAACCTATACTTGATCTATGGCCAAGCATGATAGGTACATTTCAAGGTACATCTTTGGAAAAATACATAAATTGGCAGGGGGAGAAGCTTGAGGACAAATATACATTGATGGGACAATTCTTCCCCTTAACTGGATCCCTATAATTTCTAACCTTTTTTTCCATTTTTAGTATTATCATTTTTCAACCTGTTGCAGATATTTTTATTATCAGATTAATGCAAGAATACATACAATTATGTTACATTATTTGCACTTGTAAAGTCTAAGCTGAAGTTACACCCTACACCCAGTAAGTGTGCTACATGCACCCACACATGGTTTCCACTGGGTAGGAACTGGCTGACCCCACTCCCTTGCCCCTTCCCTCTTTGGATTTGAGTTTTTCTCTCATGTGAGCATATTGTTAACCTACAAGTTTCAGATTAGCATTGACTCCAAGTGATTTTCTGTTTTCTTAAAGAGACAGTCTTGTTCTGTTATAATACACAGCTCACTGCAGCCTTCAACTCCTCAGCTTAAGGCAACACTCCTCAGCCTCCAGAGTAGCATGGACTAGGTGTATGCGCCACCGTGCCCATACTAGCTCTGATAATCATTTTAAAAAGGATTCTTTACAACTTCACAGCTAATTTTAGTGACAAACCTCCAAACCCCGTACGGTCAAAAGAAAACAGGGCAGGCTGTTCTCAAAATGCCTGAATTTTATAGAATTCTATAAAAATTGTGGAAGAAAAAGTAGATAAGTAAAGAATAATTCAGTAATATTAATCAGTGAACAAAGTATTTCTCCTTAACCTGGCGATCTGAAATCCTAGGAACACACTCCTATAAATCACAATTTGTATTCTATTGCTTTTTTTTGGTTGGTTGGTTTGTTTTCTGAGACAGTCTCACTATGTTGCCCTTGGTGAAGTGCCACGGCATCACAGCTCACAGCAACCCCTGGGCTCAAGAGATTCTCTTGCCTCACCTCCCAAGTAGCTAGGACTACAGGTGCCCGCCACAATGCCCGGCTATTCTTTGGTTGCAGTTGTCATCATTGTTTAGCAGGCCCAGGCCAGGTTCGAACCTGCCTGCCTCAAGGTGTATGTGGCTGGCACCCTAACCACTGAGCTAGGGGCAACAAGCCCACAATTTGTATTCTAGAAATGAAAAATATTATTTCTAAAAACCTAACAAAGAAAAAGGCAGAAACTCTTCGGAGAAATTAAAACTCCATTTTAAATCTCACAGAAGCAATTTACACCTAAAATGATCTGTAAGTTTACTGGTAAAATTCAAAAGGGACCCAAATCCAGCAACAACTTTCCAATGCAATTGGCTACAATGCACCCAAGCATACAGATCTCAAAGCAGTGAATGACGAGAATAAAGGCCAGAGTCAACAGATGGGTCCTCTAACATTAGAGAAAGTAACAAATACACGATTTTACCTGCAAATTTAAAGTTAAGTTTAGGTTCTAGAAGAATAGAAAAAACACAATAAGGAAAAGGAAGTGGAAGGTCCAAAATATTAAAGTAGTCCTGGTTTAAAACATTACATCTGGTAAATTTAGGTTGTACATTAAAAGAGCTAAGATATGCAATTAAGAAAATCTTACAGTGCTAGCCAGCTTCTTGGCATTTGCGGGGGGTGGGGGTGGGGGGGCGTGCAGCAAGGGTCACTTTGGCACTTAAAACCAGAGAAAACAAGCACAACCGAGAAATCTTAGGTCATTAATAAATACTCTAACTGAAGGTATATCAATTCTAATACGAGAAAAAGAAAAAAGAAGCTAAATGTTTAAAAATATCTAAAACAGATTTTAAGTGGGCAAATAAAGAGAATATACCTAACACTGAGAAAAAGAAAAAAGGGGAAAAAAAAAGATGACCCTAATAAATATTACTAGTCAACAAACACATAGAACTCTACCAGAAAAGTATTAAGAAATACTAAAGAAAATAGAGCAAAAGCAACTAGGTATCAGAACACCTGGAGTTCAGATGCCCAGAGTTATAAGGATAATTCATCCTGTATCAAGACCACACTGTCTTCCTCTGGAACATGTTAGCTGCCACAAACAAAAACCTCTTCTATGACTGGGTTCAAGTGTAGAAGACTGCCCAAAAAATTAGGTATCACACCACAAACTCTCTACAAAAGCACCCTTTCCTCCCAGTTCAGTTGTTGACAAAATAATTCTCAACATGCCAATTAAAAAAGGAAAGCAACCTAGGCCTGAGAGACCTGTGACACCTTCAATAATACACAGCAATGCCATGACACAGAATAGCCATTATGTGGGGGAATGAAGGTCAAACCTCCAGCTTAACAGGCCCAATTTAAGGGAAATAAACACCAAAAACAGTAATGACTCTTTACAAGGGAAAAGAATCAGCCACTCTCTTGTTGATGTTACTATGATCAGAACATACATTTGAAACATAGCAAGAAGTCATGGGAATATCCTGTAATTTGGAAGTTAATTACAACCAAAGGGAAAAGGCTCTTTTTGACACTGGGGACCCAAAGAGGGAAGAGTTTAAAGTTCAGTGGGCAACTCACCCTGGTTACCACCCCAAAATTGCCACTCTTGCCACAAGAATTTATATCTTAAATCAAGAAAAGATAATACACATTGAGTAGCCCTTATTTTAAATGCTTGGAACAAAAAGTGTTTCAGTTTTCACAATATCTGCATCATACTTACCATGTGAGCATCCTAAATCCGAAAATTCAAAATCTGAAATGTCCCAACAAGCATTTCCTTTGAGCATCAAGTAGGCACTCAAAAAGTTTGGATTCTGAATCATTTAAGATTTGAATGTTCCAAATGAAGTGACAATCTACATCATCACCTGTGCTGCCCTCCAAGCACAAAAGCAATTCATCTGGTCAAGGCTCCAAAATAAAAACACAACTAGTGCTCATTCCAAGGATATTAAAGACCACCTCCCCAAACCAGTGAAAAAATATGCCATTAATGCACCCAAGCCTCCATCCCAAAGTCCTAAAATCAGCCTTCAACTTATAGAGTGGCCTCAGCCTGAAAATGCAACTCTTTAATACAAGAATACAAAAGCAACAAGAGATATAACCCCTTTAAAGGACTGGGTTACGGTAGGGATTTTGCTCCTAATCACATTCCTTAAACTATTTTTAAAAACATGATAATTCAGAAAGTCTTCAGAGAAAAAACTTTCTGCACTGAAGGGCACAAAAGCTTTAGGGGCTTCAAAGAAACCCAAGTGGGTTTTCTCTAGACTTGCCTACGGTAACACTTGTAAATGCCACACATTCTCCATTTTAAGTCCATCATCACTCACACTTAATTCTTCACCACTAGCCAGCTAAGCGCTCTATCTCTACCAAACCCCTCACTTAGTCAACCATTTTCTGTACATAGCCTTGTATTCAGCAATCTACCCAAAAAGGGTGGTTCACCTTGAAACTCTGTGTTATCAAGGCCCCTGATGGCCTCCACTGCATCCTCTGCCCGCTCCATGTGTACGAAGGCATAATCTTTCACGATGTCACATTCAATGACTGGACCATATTCCTCAAACTTGGCCCGAAGCTCCTTGTTGGTACAGGTGGGACTGATGTTGCCCACGTGCAACTTTGTTGAGGTTTTACTCTTATTCTTGCTGGCTTCCACGTTGATGTTCACCCCATGAAGCTTGTAGTGGTGCAGGTTGCGTATGGCATCCTCAGCTGCAGTTTTATCTTCTATGTGCACAAAGCCATAGTTCTTAATGATGTCACATTCCAGCACTTTCCCATACTGCTCAAAGAGTGAGCGGATCTCCTGCTCTGTGGCCTCCCGAGGCAGGTTTCCGATGAACAACTTCACCATCCTGACAAGATCCTAGGAGAGAAAAAACAAGATTTCTAAAAAAAAAACTTCAGGCCCATGTCAATTAAAAAAAAAAAAAAAACAACTTCTGCACTTCAGTATATATTTCAGAACAGTTCTCTCTCAGACGCCTGCACCTCCACACAATAATCAAGGGGAAATGAGAGTGAAATAAGGTGGTCTAACTATAGCACCTGCCATAAAACCTGTGAGAATGAGATGCCCTCCCTAATAAGAAGGATTTTATTAGACAAAGGGTTTGGTAAGAAACAGATACCTTCTAACAGGAATGGGAATGAAAGTAAGTGCCTGAGAGCCAGGGGTACTGGGCTATGAGGACAATCAGAAAATAAAACTTTAATTATTGGGCTTGCTGAATTATGAACTGGTTCTTCTCTCATGGTAACCAAAACAGACACTATTTACGGAAAAGTGGGCTTTGTAATAGGTTCGTTTTAGAGTTTCCTTTGTAAGTAGTGAACACACAACACGGCCCTGATAGGGAGGCGTGGACATTACAGAAGAGCTGGAATAGTGAACGCCTCTTCGGGGTACCGTCCGACATGCTCCTAAAGAATGGACAAATGGGTGGCCGGAGAAGAGGGCTGCAGATTCATTAACCAATGCCTCACGGCCGAGAAATTTTCGAAACAGTGCAAGAGAAATGCGGTTATCTTGGTGGAAATCTCCACGCTTACGGGTAGGACCACTTCGAATACAGGGCAGGATGGAGTAAAAGCAAGGTATTCTCAGGGGGAGGGCATGGGGGAAGGGCTGCTTCAAGCTTACCGCACAACGCCGAGGACCGAAGTCGGCTCTCAGCGACGGATGTGCAGGCTGCGACCCCACTAGGACACCCCAAAGCCCAAGGAAATAGGAGAATATTTAAGAGAACAAAAGAGAAGACAAAGAAAAGGCCCAGAGTCTCACCCGCACGGAGATCAGCAGGGACTCCTCCTCGCGGAACGGACGCTCCCGACAAAACGCTAAAATGGCGGCGGCCGCAGCGGTGACTCTGGGTAGAGGAGGGAGGTGAATCTACCACCGATTGGCCGTTCGATAACGTGGAAGACAGGCAATCCCGTAGAGCCTCTTCCTGATTGGTTATCACGAACGCCAATTACCTGAGAGGCCAGGAAGAGGTGGAAACGTCAGTAACCACACAGCTTTTATGCGCAAGCCAATGGGTACCAACTTCGAGAAGCCTAGATCACTGATTGGGCAAGAGGTCGGCGTGAGGGAGGAACTACCAACGTGGGCTTCGCTTGGGGCTGCGGCCCGCCATTAGGCGGAGCGAGCTACGGCCAGGTGTGGCAGTCTTTAGCTTGAGGGCGCCAACTTTGTTATGCTTCCACATTTCACCAATTCCACGTGCATGCCCTGACAGCATCCCGCGCTGCATTTTGCCCTCCACTCCAAATTTCTCCCTCTAAATTTCCAAACACCGGTCCCCTCGCAGCCAGGCTGTTGTGGACAATAGCTTATGCCAACACAGATGTCAGGTCAGAAAAATAACGGGAGCCTCTCAGGAAACCAACCTTCTCCTTTCACCTGTAATCCATTCTGCAGCCTTTGAAGTCCCGGAGCTCCCCCCACATTAAAACTACTTTCGTAGGTGGTGAAAGGAACACTGAAAAGTCAACGGGCCCAGCTTCAGTTGGAGACCTGCAAGAGGCTTTTGAGAACAGGAGGCGCTGAGGACAAATTTCCTAGGAACCAGCCTCCCAACGTCCAAGAGGAAATTTTTCTTTGTGACCATGGAAACTGAAAACACACTCCCATCCCGCCCTGAGAAAAAAAAACTGGAGCACCAAAGTTATGTTTGTTTTGTTTGTTTTATTGGGCGGCATCAGCCACAGCTGTAGGATTTAACCCCCCTCCAACCCGACCTTAGAAGAACCTAGTGACAATCAGCTGTAAACAGAACACAATCAAAGTAACATCCTCCAGGGGATCTAGCTCCCACATCACATTTTCTTTCACATCCTTTGGCTGCTTCTCATAATCCCATATTCATTGAGCAAGCAATTTACACCAAGAAAACTCTATGCAAAGCAGCTTTGAAGAGGGAGTTAAAAGAAATGGGAGTGGGTGTTGGATGGAAGAACTTAAAACACGAGCAAAACAAACTAAAAGCAGTGAATTGTTTATGTGGAAAGGTATCAGGAGACAACAACACACATGCAACATATTACCATCAAAGGCAGCACCCCAAGTGGGGAGAGGTTATAAAGAAAAAGGTGAAGTCAAAAGTTCTGGGAAGAGTGGGTTTTAAAACCCGACAAGATTCAAGAATCCCATAGTAGAAAACTGGTTGAGAACTTTCTTGGTGGTGGAAATACCTAAAAGCCTAAAATAACAAAATATAACATTTGCAGCCAAGGTCACTATCTAGGTCCTTTTCATTGTGGATTGTGATGCACCTCTGGGATTGAGTAAAGGCCACAGGATCAGTGATGAAGAAAACCAACTCCCAGCTCCGTGCCTGTAGCTCAGCAGCTAGGGCACCAGCCACATACACAGGGTTCAAACCTGGCCCAGGCCTGCTGAACAATGACAACTTACAGGGGTCCTCAAACTTTTTAAATATGGGGCCAGTTCACTGACCCTCAGACCATTGGAGTCCACTGCTAAGCAGGATAGGCAGCTGCGGCAAAAACACCCAGCGGGCCAGATAAATGTCCTAGGCAGGCTGCATATGGCCCACGGGCCATAGTTGAGGACGCCTGGACAACTACAACAAAAAAAAAGCTGGGCATTGTGGTGGGCGCCTGTATTCCCAGCTACTTGGGAGCCTAAGGCAAGAGAATCACTTAAGCCCAAGAGTTTGAGACTCCACAGCACTCTACCAAGGGCAACAAAAGTGAGACTGTCTCAAATAAACAAAAAAAAGGGCAGCGCCTAGGCTCAGTGAGTAGGGCACCAGCCCCATATACTGAGGGTGGGTTCAAACCTGGCCCTGGCCAACTTGCAACAAAAAAATAGCTGGACATTGTGGAGGGTGCCTGTAGTCCCAGCTACTATGGAGACTGAGGCAAGAGAATCACCTACGCCCAAGAGCTGGAGATTGCTGTGAGCTGTGACGCCATGGCACTACTGAGGACAATAAAGTGAGACTCTGTCTCTTTAAAAAAAAAAAAAAAAAAAAAACTCCACGTCGGCTACAAGTGCCATTTTAGGGGTCCAGCATTAGGAGGTAGTCACAACTCACTCTGTGCCAGGAGATATAAGGTACAGAAATCCTCTCATCTCCCATCAGTTTGATATTCCAAATTTTTTGTGTCCCAACAACCATGAGGATCAAATTTTCTTCCAAAATACCTAAGCATATGAGGTCAACTCAATTCTACGAATTTAACCATCTCACTATGTCTGAAGGAGAGACTGGGAATATAAATCTTCTGAATTCAATCCACATGTACAGGCATCAAGAGTACAGACCCCCCCACACAAAAAAACCTAACTACTAATTTGCCTTCTAAAACCCAACTAGCTCCAGTCATCTTGCTTTGCAAACTCATCCAACTGAAGGAACCACATTAAATCATTTCCCTGCTTTTAAACCCCATGGCATTTGTAGTATTAAGTAGCATGGATGGTAAGAATAATATTTGGGGTTGTTTTAAAAGGAAGGATAATAGCCAATAAAGCAATTCCTTTAATTTTTTTTTTTTAAATGGCAACTGAGGCTCAGTGCCTGTAGCTCAGTGAGTTAGGGTGCCAACCCCATACACTGTGGCTGGAAATGGAACCCAGCCCAGGCCTGCTAAACAATGACAACTCCAACCAATAAAAAGCTGGGTGTTGTGGCGGGCACCTGTAGTTCCAGCTATTCAGGAGGCTGAGGGAAGAGAACCACTGAAGCCCAAGAGTTTGAGGTTGCTGTGAGTTGTAATGCCACAGCACTCTACCAAGGGTGACATAGTAAGACTGTCTCATTAAAAAAAAAAAAAACGGCAATTGAAATTAAAAATCCAAACTCCTTTCCCAGGACTGTAAAACTACCCAATCTGGTTCTTGCGTTTGCAATTTCCCAATCTGTTAATCACTTTCCCCCACAATCCCTAACCATGCTTCAGACACACTGGCCGCTTTGTCTCAAGCTCAAACTAGAATATTCTTTATTCATTGGCCGACAAAAGACATCCTCTGATCCAACCCAACCCTACCCGGGATTTCCTTTTTTTTGAGACAGAGCCTCACCTCAAGCTGTGGCCCTGGGTAAAGTGCCATGATATCACAGCTCATAGCAACCTCCAACTCCTGGGTTTAAGCAATTCTCTTATCTCAGCCTCCCAAGTAGCTGGGACTACAGGTGCCCACCACAACGCCCAGCTATTTTTTGGTTGTAGTTGTCATTGTTGTTTGGCACACCTGGGCTGGATTCGAACCCACCAGCTCAGGTGTATGTGGCTGGCGCCTTAGCCAGTTGAGCTACAGGCACCAAGCCTCTGCCTTGGATTTCTATCCTATGACTCCATGTTATTTTTCCAAATACAGTAATTATCATTCACTTGGACCCTATACTCGTTCTACAAGACCAAGGACCTTATTTCTACCATATTCCTATTGTTAGAAATGTTTTGTTGACTGAGTTAAATCAATGAATAAATACATGGGATAACTTCTTGATAACCAAAAGCAGGTAAATGACTGGATTTTTCTATCAGGTTAAGAACCTGGACACTTGACCAGATGCGGCGACTCACGGTCAGAAGTGCAATGAGCTCAGAAGTTGAAACCAGCCTGAGCAAGAGCAAGACTGTCTTTACTAAAAATAGAAAAACTAGCCAGACGTGGTGGTGAGCACCTATAGTATCAGTTACAGGACGCTGAGGCAAGAATCAATCAAGCCCCAAGCCCAAGAGTTTTAGGTGGCTGTGACACCATGGCACTCTACCCAGGGTGACAGAGTGAGACTCTGTCTCAAAAAAAAAAGAAACTGGACACTTATCAGTACGGAAAGCATGCACCTCTACTTATATTTCCTATATACTTTCTATTCTCCCTCAACCAAAAAAAGCCAGTACCCAAACTCAGAGGTAATCTATACTAAGAGCTGTTAATCACCACTTTGACAAATGTGGCAAAATAAAGCTATAGGCAGACAAGTTTGTAGTAGCTCAAGTGTTTTCTTTTCTTTTCTTTTTTTTTTTTTTTGAGACAGAGCCTCAAGCTGTCCCCCCTGGGTAGAGTGCCATGGCATCACAGCTCACAGCAACCTCCAACTCCTGGGCTCAAGCCAGTCTCCTGCCTCAGCCTCCCAAGTAGCTGGGACCACAGGTGCCCACCACAACGCCCGGCTATTTTTTTTTTTTTTTGGTTGCAGCCATCATTGTTGTTTGGCGGGCCCGGGCTGGATTCGAACCCACCACCTTAGGTGTATGTGGCTGGCGCCTTAGCCACTTGAGCCATAGGCACCAAGCCAACTCAAGTGTTTTCATACTGATGTTCATCTACCCAACTATAATTTACCAAGTACACAAAGGAGTTTAATGCTTTCTCCCTTAAGCATTAAAGGTAAAATTAAAGGCCAATTAAAAACATCTGATCAAAATCCTCTATTTTATCACCTCAATTAAACAGTAACATTGAATGGAATGTTTTTAAAAGCACCTTGTCTGGAACCCTGTAAATGCCATTTTGGTGATTCCTTCTTTGTTGACTAGGCTACCAAACTCCTCAGAGTTGTAAAGTCACTTGTCCAAAGTCATCTAGAAAGTTAACATTCTGTAAGAGCCAAGAATACATATTCTGGCTACAGATTTTCAACAAAATGAGCAGTATATAACATATAATTGAGATGAGAAATGAGTCACAGATTTGATAAAGGCTCAAATTAAAAGCCAGCATTCTCCAGGGATGCTTTTAGGAGGGAGCCAGCAAGCCAACCCAGCAGAAGGCTTCCTAGGTTTCCAATCCTACTGCCAGCTATACCAGAGATTCTCAACCTGTGGGTCGTGACCCACAGGAACTATATTAAAGGGCCACAGCATTAGAAAAGTTGAGAACCACTGAGCTGTACTTTCAGCCTTCCTTAATGTCTTTGTAGGTCTCTAGTTAACT